TTCTTTTATACAGTAGGTGTAAGACGTCTTTGACTTGGATGCGATCGAAAGCCTTTGTCAGGTCTATAAAACATAGATATGCTGGTTTATTGTACCCGATGACCTTCTCTGTGATTTGTCTTTGTGATATGGATCCTTGATAAAGTTGTTAGTTTATTGATTTTGTTAGTTAGGACTTTTGTGGTAAGCTTAAGTGCGGTGTTCAGTAGATCTATACCTCTATAATTGTTGGGGTATTCTTAATCTCCTTTCTTGAACATTGGTATCATTATGTTGTTTCTCCATGCGTCTGGTATCTTGCAGCGCAATATATATTTGTATAAGTTTTGTCATCTCTAGGATTATACTTTCTCCTCTGTGTTTTAGAATTTCGTTGGTTATTCCGTCTGGTACTGGTGACTTTCTATATTTGAGCGAATTTATGGCCATTTCTACTTCCTGAAAACTAATTTCTATTTCGTGCCTTAATTCAGGTACGTTATTGTGTTGATTATTATTTTCCTTTGCTTTAAACAGACGAGATTGTCTTCAATAAATATACCAAGTGGAACTACTGCTTCTGCCAATACATCCTCTATATACCGGTGAGAATTCAGGGGCCATTGATGAAAATAAGTTCAGCTCGAGCTTTAAATGAGATTCCAGTAAAAACCATTACAACACCACTGCCAAACTTTCCTTTCTGGGACATACAAGCTTGGGCATATCTTTCATTTATCTGTCTCCAAACCATCTCTCGGCCATCTTCAGATTTCAAACAGAACCGCTATTTATTATAGATAAAGTCACGTTCAGATGGCAGTGTACGGATATAGGATAACAGCGTTGCCAATTCTACTGCCATTGTAAGTTTTGCTACTTTTGTAAAATAAGCAGGGCCAAACTCACGGTAAACTAAGATATGTTTAGGTAAGCTAAAGTTGTTAGTAGAAAATTCGTGAATGAAATAAATGGTAATAATTCCTAAAATGCTTTTATACATAATAACGCAGTTAATAGGGAAAAAATATGAAAAATATTCTACAGGTTTTTTAATGTTCTAAACGGTAGATAAGGGATAACTGATGATAATTCCTTGAAGAATTACAGCCAATTTTGCTTTGTTTATTTTTTAAAGAAAGATGAAGTTTGGAAAAAATCATTTGTTTGCCTATTTTGTTCCTCGTGCTTTTTAGGGAAAAATGTTTCAAATACATGTTGCAGATCTTAAAAAGTTTTTTAAATTTTAGTTTGTAAATTAAAATACATAAACAAATGACTGAGATAATTGCAAAAAACCCCTAATTGAGGCCCCTAGAACACAAGGGTGTAAGTGCAGTTGCTTATCACTTAGCAACTGATATCTAACAACAGGCACGTACTTTTGGCTTCAAACTTTCTACATTAACAACAATAACACCATCAAAAATTACATGTCATTGAAAACATGCTGAAAACTGAAAAAGTGCTACCTAGGTTTTTAAATTTTATCGAACTTTGAACAAAGATTTTTCAAAATTTTGTTTTTGGCACTTACACCCCTTGTGTTCTAGGGGCCTCAATTGTGCACTAATTTATTAAACGTTCATAACTTTATTTTTTGCATAATGGCGTCTAATATAACTACTTGAAATTATGTCGATTAATGAGTTATTTAAGTGTGCTACATTTCAACCAGATCAACTAAATATTTTATTACCTTTACTGAGAAAAGAATACCCCCGAAAAACAATTTTCAATCATCTTCATTTTCATAATCTAGTTCATCTTCAGAGTCATCGTTTAATGAAATTCTAATAGGTTCAATGTCATCTTGAATGTTGTCTACAGTCCAAAAATTATTCTCCAATTTTATAACATGGTTGACGTAATTTTTCCAATGTCCATTGTTCTGTACTTTATCATAACCTTCATAAATCAATGTTTTAACGTCGTTTTGTTTGAAACTTGAATTCTTAGAGGACACGTACCGTTTCACTTCACTCCACACCATTTCTATTGGGTTTAGTTCACAGTGATAAGGCGGAAGTCTTAAGATATGTACATCTACGCGGCATTGTTCGTCACTGTGATTCCTGTATTTTTCACCAATACAATCAATTTTGTATTTGTCATAAATATTTTTAAATACATTAGCAGTTTCCAGAAGTTCATTTTTTAAGTAATCTTCAAAATAAATGTCCTTTTCATAGAGCCACTGCTTAATTTGACGTTTCACCCAATATTGTTTGGAAAAATTTAATTTCCTAGAGTGATAAGATGCATTGTCCAAGATAATGACATTCTTTTTATTTTTTGGGAGATTCGGTATTAACATCTCTTCAAACCATTTTTCAAATAGATCTCCGTCCATCTCTTCATGGTAATCTTCAGCACCTTTTTTGGCAAGAAAAGTTATGTCAGCACCTTCAACAAATCCGTCTTTGTTTCCTGCATGGACTAAAACAAATCTTGGTCCTTTTCCGGTCGGAGTTTTTAAACCTGTGGTAAGTCCATTTACGAAAGCCTGTCGGCTATTTTTTATTGTTGTATCTTGCCATACTTGCCCATTGGTTATTCCAGTATTAACCCATGATTCGTTCATATAAATGATATTGGCTCCTTCGTTCCTCAGTTTCTTTATTTCCCGGAGATAGTGACGCCTCCAAGCGACTATTTCTTGTTTTTCTATTAATATTGAATTTCTACCTTGTTTCCCATATATAAAACCCATGTCGTGCAATAGTCTTCTCAACGTACTCTTGGAAAAATTCGGAAGATGCTCCATTTGCTTAATTTTTTCTAGTACTACGTCAAGGGTTGGAGGAATATTGTCCATAAAAAAACCGTGCACTACTTGTCTTATTCTAGACCGAGTTGCTTCATCATATCTATTCTCACGACTATTCAAATAACCGGTTCTTTTTTTTCTTATAGGAGTTACGAGTGGACCATTTTTACTTTCACTTCTATATCGGAATATCGTTCGCTCAGAGACTCCAGTCATAGCAGAAACTTTCCGCACTATTGTTGATACACTTTTATCATTATTACTGTTTGATAAATAGTTAAAAACATTTAACACTATTTTTTTGCATTCACTATTTAACAAATTACCGTTTTTGAATTTTATTACACTCGCGGCCATTTTGACACTGACACGACACAAACGTCTGATATCAACTGAAAATTCTTTTAATGACTCTCAAGTATTTACCTGAATTTATAATTGCTGGCATTAGACAATAATTTTGAATTTATAAATAGGTATATTTTTTTAATTCTAAATTATTTTTTAATGTCTGTAACTGTAAATGCAGGTAGAGAAAGTGTGTCATTAAAAGGACATTAAGATCAAAAACGGATTATACAAATAATTATTTCATTTCCACGAATTGTAAACAATTTTGAACAGAAGATATAATTCCGAAAAGACCAGATTTCCGAAATATAACTTTCTATTTTTAAAATACCAACAGAAAAATTATATAATTAAAAAAATGTAGTATTTTTCCGTTTCACATTCATAAATATTTCCGAAATTATAATTCTTTTATAGGAGCCCGCCCATAACGTACGATTGTAGGTACGATTAAAAACTGACAACAATGTAGTTATTTCTGGCATATAGAAAGTACAGGCCTATCTCTGTAACGCCGCCATCTGAATGTGAATTTATCTATAGTAAAGAGAATTCGGCTCCAATCCTATATATCCCAGCATTGTCGAGCAAAAATTAATGGATTCCTATAGTGTGTGGGTTGTAATGAGCTTAAACTCAAACAAAATTATTATGACTGAATAGGTATTTTCAATACCTTTCAAACGAGGTATCACTTGCCATAAGGTTCCATTTAAAATTATCTGTCACAGTGGCGCTGTAACGTCATTTGTTACTATTACGTCACCTGTTATGACTAATTAAGAAGCCTACGTCTGTTTATTACCTCCCTCCAAATTTCACTATTATAACAATAACCATTCAAAAGACACGAGGGGGGAACGGACTTTTGACTAGCACTGTATATCTTAATAATTATTCACTTTGTCGCAATCCACTTTTAAGAAGCTAATTTACTGTTTAATTAAATGTTCTCAACCTAGAAGCTAAACAGAGACTACAGAATACAACAACATAAACGTCAATACTGTCAAAAATAAACATACAGATCGCAATAAATATTTAAATTGAAACGCAATAAAACTACGCTGTTTCAGTGCATAAAACTTCCAATGAATTTTTATTTTCGGACATTCATAGGGTGGTCACATCGAGTTAGAATCTATGGAGAAGCTATGAGCATAGTAACGTGTGTATTAAAAACGGCGTAGGTAGGTGTGACTAACGATAATACCAATATGGCGGTGGGATCATGGCCGGACTCAATTATATTAAAACTACTATAAAAATATGACTAGTTATTTAGAAGATTTAATCATAATCTAAAAAAGTGCAATACATTTTTAATAATCTATGATTTATTTATCCCTCGGTAAACACTAAAAACACGATATATTATACATAATTATAAATGAATACAGTCAAATACTATTAATTTATTATCTGAAGTACGGGCCATTACTTTTTTACATATTTGTATACTAACCTGTACAACGTTATTCCTGAAGATTTTTTATTAGCATTGCTTCTGCTACTGCAACTACGTTCAGAACAAAAAACCATTATTATGCACTATCGCAATATATTATTACAGTTTCTATAAAAGTATTATAAAACTAAAAATATTCGAAAAACAACAAACGTAAATAAACTTATACGATCTGTCAAAAGTGTCAAAACAATATTAACAATAGTAAGAACAATATGGCCGAAGTGAGGTCGTTTTTAGTCACGTGATGCCCTCTCCATAGATTCTAACTGGATGGGTGGCCAGTTTTTTTGCCGTTCAATATATTTATTATTCTGTAATAAGTAAACAATTTCGGTGTAGAAATTATTATATTCTGTCACAATAAGTTTATTTTCATCCTCAATTAACTGGTCTAATGTTGATTTTAATTATTTTATTTTATGATGTCAGTTTCACTGTCAGGCGGTGTTAAGTCTAGAAATACGAAGCGGAAATTTACGGGAGATGTAGGAGCACAAGGTAAAAAAGGCCGTGGAGTCGACTTGGGAACGCCCAAGTTACCCGCCCATGGTTATCCTCTGGATCATCCCTTTAATAAAGATGGCTATCGATACCTGTTGGCGGAACCTGATCCACATGCACCTTTTAGACAGGTAAAAATAAACTAAGTTATCGTTATAGATTATCATATAAAGATTATCAGACTTATTGATCTTCAATTATTATTTAATAATTTTTTAAAATTTTATAGGCGATTTGATTGATTTAATATTTATGTGACTTTTTATTTATTTATTTGTTTATTGACGGGCTAAACCCTTTTTCAGAATATGTATAAAATATAGTAAGATACATAAGCTAGCTACAACAGTTTTTTAACATGTATTTTAAATGATGGAGTTGAAGTATTAAATAATTCTAATTCTGTTTGGTAATTGTTCGCCGTACGTAACATCCTAGAAATTACCTGACCTGTTCGTCGCATAGGTATATTAACTGAAATTAAACCAAAAATTTCAGGGTAATTAATAAATCCAGTTAGAAGCTTACGTAAAAAATATAATTCGAATTGAGTTTTTCTTGTCTCTAATTTGTTCATTTTAAGTTGATTAAGAATATAATTGTAATTATAATCTCCACGTCTTAAACCCATTTTATAACCACATATCCTTATAAATCTGTTTTGAACTTTTTCTAACCGAGTTTTCTGGGTATTATTAAAAGGACACCATATAATACAGCAGTATTCTATAATTTATCGCATAGCGAACAGTATAATATTTTAAACCTAAAAACTGAGAAGTCCTTTGAATTTCTCTTAATAAATCCTAACATTTTAAGGTCACGTGAAGTTATGTCATTAATATGATCATTAAAGTTCAGTTTTCTATCCAGTGTTATACCCAAATTCATCAGCGAATAAGATAAATTGATCGGAGTTAATTCTCTATCTATCTATACAGCCCTTGCTGTCCAATTTTGGACATAGGCCTCCTCTTCCTTCTTCCACGTCTCTCTGTTGTAGGCAGTTTGTATCCACTTAGGGCCTGCGTGTTTCTTTAAGTCACCTGACCTTCTCATTTGTGGCCTTCCTCTTTTCGTTTGTAACAATATGGTCTCCAGTGTACAATCATCTTATTCCATCTGTCGTCTTTCTGTCTTATGGTATGTTTAGCTAACTTCCACTTAAGTTTTGCTATCTGCGTTGATACATCGGTCACTTTTTTTTTGTTGTGGATCATGGCACTTTGGGTCTTTGCTATTTCTTCCATGTTTTTCTTTGTAAACGTAGAAGTTTGAGAACCACATAGAACATAGAGAATATTTGAATGCCTTCCTCTCGGTGAAGGAATTAGAAATAAAGGCATGGCTTGCATGGGTAGAGTCGCATCACTAAAGTAGAAATGTCTATCGGGATCATAAAATAATGTTTACCTGCTACTACTATAAATAATTTAAATTGTGAAAAAAATATTCAAATACGAATTTTGCAAGTCTGTTTTCTCTAGTACACGCACACACAGATGCACGCACACGCGCGTGTATTCACACACACAAATACACACATACACACACACACACACACACACACACACGCGCGCGGATGCTGTCTTAATTTTTGAAAGAACAGAAATAATGAATAAGCAAAGATATATAATTATATTCAGAAATATTGAGATAATGATGAATTGTTTATCCTTTTCAGGCATTCGATGAAAGCTCAGATTGGGCTGGTAAACCCATACCAGGATGGTTGTATCGAACATCAATAGCCAACACAGTATTGTTAGCACTACACGACAGAGCTCCCCAGTTAAAAATATCCGAAGATCGCATAGCAGTAACAGGAGAGAAAGGATACTCTACAGTAAGAGCCACTCACTGTAAGTTATTATTCATAATAGATTTTCATTTTATTTTGTAAAGATCGTTTTACTTCTCTATTTTTTCGTTTTAAAATTTGTGAACAGTCTTCTACTATAACCAAGCTTTCTAATCTTCCAGACTGAAATTTAAATTTAGGTTTATTTTTCTTTGGTCAGTCTAAGAAACTTATGGTACACTGGGGTCTTCTGATGATCTATTGTGTTTGGCCCTTATCAATAAATTAGAGAACACTAGTCACAAGACTAGTGCATTCATCGCAAAAATGCGAGGTATTTGTTTGAATGCAAGTGCCTCGTGTCACATGTATTATTAAGATATGTCTACCAACTCTCAAAACTTCTAAAAATTGTTAATATCTTCTATTTTTAAGCAACTAACAATATTGGTCCAGTGACTGAAGGTAAAAATCAACTATTACCTCCGATTTCGATGATCCTCCATCGATTTGCATGAAAATTTGGGATTGAGTATATTTTACCTTCAACTTCAAAAGTGACATATGCTCAACTTGCGCTTTTTGCATTTTAGTGATGAAATCCACCCGTTTTGTTAAAAATCTCTATAATATGATGGTGTACCATCTTGCATAAACCACATATTTCGCCTTAAGTTTGATGACAATTCTTCCAATAAATCAATAAAATCATTTTATAGAAAATGTAAATAAATCTCACCGTTCAAATTACAAGGTACTTCGCATGTCCGTAAAAATAATTACCAATGATTTCAAACCATACGTTTATTTAAAATTCATGTTTAAAATGCATGTCGTATGATTTGGAACCATTTGTAATTATTTTTTACGGACATGCGAATTACCTTGTAATTTGAATGTTGAGATTTATTTACATTTTTTATAAAATGATTTTATTGAATTATATAATTATATATAACTCACTTTGAATTAATATTAAAAGGTTTTTCAAGCAAGGAATTTATTCAATTTTTTATTAGCAAAATCTTTGATCTTCAATAACTTAAAAAGTATTGATTTATTTTAATAACTTTATCAGATAAATTTTGTTTAGATTTGGTCCCTCTATCGATTTTGGTGTTTATTTTTAATAAATAATTTCCACCCACAAGATGGGGTGGCATTCACCCCCAGGGTAAAAGCGCAAGTTGACACCATGTCACTTTTGTTTCTTAAGGTATCCTCTAATTACTCACCAATTTTCATGAGAATCGATGAAGGTTCGACGAAATCGGAGTGAAAACCTTCTGTAACTGTACTATATTTGTGAGAACATTTTTTGAAGATGTACAGTTTTGTTGCCAAATTCCACCCCGTTTGAATGGTGTTTGAAGGGAATCTTTTGTATTGACGACTTATCTTCTTCTCTTTCTTTTGTTGAGATATCAATAAAGCTTATGTGATAACATATGCTATCTTTATTAGTTTTTATTTTTGACTAGTGCCAAAAATTTTTTTCACTAGAATTGAGGGATACATTTTTTATGTGACTCTTCTAGAAATAAAGTCAATTTTTGTAATTGTTTTTTAGTTGTGACACAAGGTGTCTGGTACTGGGAAGCAACCATCGAGGAAATGCCCGAAGGATCGGCTACGCGGATGGGCTGGGGACAAGATTATGCCAATTTGCAAGCTCCCGTGGGATACGATACATTTGGATATTCATGGAGATCACTGAAAGGAACACGTTTCCATGAAGCCCTTGGAAAATCCTATAGTTCGGGATATGGAGAAGGTGACACATTAGGATTTATGATTGTTTTGCCTGTGAATAGTACAACCAAATTAATTCCAAATACATACAAGGATCGTGTAAGTAGAGACACAACTTACTCTGGTTTAAATTATATTTAGATAGGATAGAATAATATTTATAAATATCAAAAACGCTAGAGTGTCGATAGATGCAAAGTGATAAAGAACGCATATCGTCAACCGACTTATTTGAATCATAATGCGGTACGACTGGTGTGACGTGTACTCGGTTAGACACCAGTCTCAGTAAAACAGTTTAATTTGTATAAAAATATATTTAAAATAAATAACAAAATAAAATTAACTTATATATAAATATCCATACAATAAAACAAACATAGAAATCCTAGTAAATAAAATGGACGGCGCTACGGTCCGCTATTGATACCTCTGAAAAATAAATATTGGTGATACTAGGATGGTTGAAGCAAAAATACGATGTATTGGTCAATACCCAAACACCTGGAAAGACTAATCAATACTTAGTCTACGTTAGAGGTGGCCGATCGATCACTACTCGTTGCTGAAAAGGAACGGAAAGCGATCAATCAATACTTGGTCGTTGATGGGAAGGACATGAAGAAATTCGTGTTCCTCCGATAATAAATATCGGCGAGACCCAGGTCTACCTGGTCTTTAGATAGCCACTAACCCCTACGAGCTCTCCTCTCCCACTTCTAAATCCAATCCAATAGTTGGTACGTGCCGCAATCTTACGCCCTTAATGGGGAACGGACGTATAAGGGTCGCAGCTCGTTCGTCCTCACTTTAGTTCTGTGGAATGAAAGTAAGGTGGTCGCACGAGACATTCGTCTCGGATACTAAAAGTTTACACCGGTGACCGTAACGCCCAAGTGCCCTGCATGCATTTCTATAAACCCGAGACCTCAATCGACGGTTCCACCTCCCATTTCTTCTCATTGGTCGACTGTTACGACGGGCAGGGATATCTACCCCCGGAAGTATTCTTGGGGATGGAAAGGACAGTTGGATCTTTGATCAATACTCAATGACCGGGTTAGGAGCTCTTACCAGATCAGTACTCCAGCATGAACTCCCGGAACGGTTAGCCTTTGATCAATACTCAAATGCTCGGGATTGGAGTTCTTACCAGATTAGTTCTTCGGTTCGAATTCGGTTCTTTGTTGCGGTGGAACAGAGTGTTGATCTAGCGCGTGTCGATGGTAGTTGTAAAGGTAGAGTATGTCCAGGATGTTTTTAAACTTTTCGAATGAATATGATATTGTCATACTGTCATACATGTCATAATCTGTAGTCATACGTTAATTAATAAAATATTCTAAAGTAACTAAAAAATATATTGCATAATTTTTCTTAAGGATAACTAATTACAACGATTTCCTGATTAAAATAAATTTACACACCACCACTGAAATGCACTCATAGACTTTTCCGCAGTTTATGGCGTTGAAACGATAACCTGGCAGTACTAGTCAATGTTCTAATATACAATTTGAGTGTTATATCTGATAACATTGCTTAATTTTTATTTTAGCCTTTGGTAAAATTCAAAAGTCATTTATATTACGAAGACAAAGACAACGTTCAAGAACGATTAAAATCTCTGGTTCCTTTGCCAAAAAGTCAAATTATCTTCTTTAAGAATGGAGAATGCCAAGGAGTTGCCTACCAGGACATACACCAGGGTTCTTATTATCCAACTCTTTCTTTGTATAAGAATATAACTGTTTCCGTTAATTTCGGACCCAGTTTTAAGTATCCTCCTCCTATTGAGCAATACAATTATAAACCGGTAAGTTAAAGTAGTGTGCCTCTATATGCATTTGTAAGTTTTGATTTAGTAGTTTTTTATATTATATTATTTTTATCATATTTATATTTCATATTTTTTAATTTGAATAGCCTATAGAGGTGCTTGTCGTCAATCTTTTTTAAATATCAAGATATGGCGACCCATTAAGACCATAACAATGCGGCGAGGGGATCTCTATGTTGAAAGTTGCATAAAATTGTCGAGAATCTAAAACAGTGATGCAGCCCAGCTAAAAATTATATCACTCTTTAATGATACCATCAAACGCAGAATCGCCGATATGGCTGTGCTATTTAAGAACAAATAGCCGAAAAGGTCAAAAATACCCATATTTTGCTTGGCAGTTTGAATCTGCTGATGTTAAAGATTGTGTGGGCCTAAAAGCATTTGAAAGCATCATTAAAGACATTTTATTTTGTAAAGCACTTTCTGTGAACACTACTGGTCAGTATATGTATAATCTGATTTTAGAAGGAGCACCCTAGTGCGGAATCGATTCGACAAAATGCAAGTAGCGATGGCGTTATGAGTGATGGTTATGAGTTCCATGTTTACTGCATTGAAGGTTTTACCTTGCTATTTAAATGATGTGATTGAAGAGGTGACTCAAGTTGTGAACTCAATTAAAGATAAAGCTTTACAAAGCGATTGTTTAGATTCATTTGTGAAGATATGGGTTTGCTCCATCAAAATTTTCTTGTTGACACACAAGTCAGATAGCCATCCAAAGGAAAAGTATTAACACGAGTTCTGGTATTAAAAGCTGGACTAATAATGGATCTACAGAAGCAAGGGATTCTTCTTCAAACTGTGTGTTTAACTTCTATAGAACAAAGAATGTCTCTTCCTTGCGTTCAGAATACTGTTCAACTATTTTGCTAAACTGAACTCTAACGTTAACAACAGAGAGTTAATAATAATTTATTATATAAATATAATAAATTATTTTTTAGATAAGTCATTGTAACTGATAATCTCCCAACAAAGATAAAACAAAAGCTTATCGGTTTGGCAGGTAACTGCATGGTTAAAATGGAATTTAGATCGTAAACGATCGATGTCTCTTGAGTAAAGAGAAAAGAAGAGTATCCTGCATCGACTTCTTCTTTATGTGCCGTCTTCTACCGAAGGTTGGCGACCATCATACGATAGGTTTCTCTGTTTTGTGCCGCATGAATTATGTTCGCAGCTTCTGGTATTTGAAACCATTCTCTCAAGTTTCTCAGCCAGGATTTCTTCTTTCTGCCCAAACCTCTTCTACCTTCAATCTTGCCTTCCACGATAAGCTGTAGCAGACTGTACTTATCATTACGGAACACATGGCCCAGGTATGACGCTTTCCTCCTTTTAACAGTTGTTAACAATTCCACCTCTTTACCCATTCGTCTTAATACCTCTGTGTTGGTCACTCTGTCTGTCCAAGGTATTCTCAGTATGCGTCGATACAGCCACATTTCTAGAGCCGCTAACTTCTTTATAGTTGCTGCTGTTAACGTCCACCCTTCTACGCCGTAAAGTAGCGTAGAGAGTACGTAGCATTTCGTGGCGCGCCATCGGAGGTTAATGCTTAGGTTGCGGTTGCTTAAGATCCTGCATCGACAAGGGAAGCTTTGAAATTATTAGTTTCTTTCGCTACTTCTTACCTTCCTTAAGGTACGTTTTTACTGGGGCGTATTTTGCGATCATCATTTAGCGATTGTCGCTGAGCAATGATCGCTAAGCGGTGATCGTAAGCGGAGTGTTTTTACTGAAGTGATGATTTGATTAGTGAGTTGTCTGTTGTCTACTGATCAACTGGTTTTGTTGCAGCGATGAGCGTATGTAAAAGAAAACAATTATTGTTAAAATACCTGCTAGCAGAAGAAATAGAGGATGAAGATATGTTAGAAATGTTAAGTGTTTCAAAATTAAAAAACATGCACTATTTAAAAGAAGACAAGAACAAGGATACTTCGAAATTTTGGTTAACAACCCTTTATTAAGATATCGATATGTTTACACAGTTCTTCAGTTTGAATGAACTTAAGTGTGGTTTTGTGTTAAGTTTAGTAAAACAGGATATGAAAAAGTCGTCTACAAACTGTATACATATTCAGTGTAGTGTTGCCCAAATGCAAGAACAAGACAAGACTTAGATAGACTTGGTCTTGGTTTTGCGCCAATACACCTTGTCTTGGTCTTGCGCCAATACACCTGGTCTTGCTCTTGCGCCAATACACCCGGTTTTGGTATTGCGCTCTCGGTCTTGGTCTTGCAGCAAGAGTCTTGTAAGTCTCGCAGTTACCCATTAGCCTATTGCTATTTATTTAACGTTACTTTAGGTCTTATAATAACGTAACAGAGTAGGTACATTTTAAGCTTCAATTAACATAGCCATAATAAATACCATCCAAAATAATAAATCTCTAAACAATGACATCGGGTGGGGTTTGAACCCACGATTTAAGCGGTCCGTGTCTATGCTTTAACTAACTCAGCTATCTACCATGCCACACAGGAGTCGATCTGTTTCTTAATAAACGTTTGCATTTAATAAGCTTACATGTGCTAAAACATGGTTAAAACACAAATTAATGACATATACTTGACTGTATTTTAAGATTATATGAAAAACAATTACATTACGTAGACTCAATGGAGACAGCTCAATTGGGAATGAAGTTTAGTGATGTCGAACAAGTAACTACTGGTTATTTTATATTCGTTACTATCCAACACCCTAAGTACCGAATACCAAACCGAGAATTATATATCGTTACTTCGTTACTTGAAATATTTCGGTATTTCGTTTACACTGTAGTCGGCATTATCTGTTATTAATTTTAATTTGTCTGGAATACTTTTGAATATTATCCGCGTTCTTTCAGAAAATTTTGTTTAACCGAATCGCCTCGACCTCATCGCACACTCAGCAGAAGTGTTTAGTCCTAGGCTGATAAGATTTGTGGTAAAGATTTCTTGTAACTAAATTATTAATCAGGAAAAAAATTGAATTCTTAAGTGGGTGTCCTTAACAATAGGTATGCTTAACCTTATTATATTTTTTATCAGCTAAGGTGACATATTTTTATAAAGTTTCGATATCATATTACTGTCGGCGTCGCAACGCAAGAAGATTATTTTCTGATTAGAGGGCAGCTATGAGCAACTATGAGCAACTAAGAAGTTGTCTGCTGGGAAAGATTGTACAATAGTATATTACTTTATGAGGCGGAGAAGCATGACTTTTCTTGACGCGCCCGATATTACGCGCCGAACGAAGTGAGGCGCGTAATAGAGGACAAGTCAAGAAAAGTCGCTTCTTTGCCGAATAAAGTATACTATTTTTTCTTCAAACGTAGCCATTTTTTAACCATAAATAGTACAATTCATACGCTATTTTTCTCGAAATTAACTGGGACAACTATCAAAGTCGTCTAGATGTTAGAAATTAAAATAATTAAGTCGTCGGCGGGATTTGCGTCTCCCTGGTTACAGTTTTTTGACAGTTGTTTGCAATTATTAAAGACAGCTTATTGTTGTTGCAAACGCAAGCGCAAATTTAGTGCGAAAATGGAAAACTTAAACAAAATTGAGTCCGCGGCTAATGATGCAGTAGCACGTTTGGGGCCCTCCAAGTCCGGAATAAAGTATCGGTTAGCGTAGAAGCACTTCCAGGAGTGGTGCGATACAAGAGGAGTACGGCAAGTTACCGAAGACGTTTTACTGGCATATTTTAATATAATGGAAAATGAAAATAAATGGAAATCTTCTACAATGTGGTCACGATACTCTATGAGAAAATCCGAGTTAGTTATTACAAAAAATGTGGATATAAGCAAATTTTTAAAGTTACGTGCCTTTCTGAAAAAAAAAACAAGCAAAGGATATACTGCAAAGAAGTCTAAAGTTTTCACTAATGACGAGTTTGATAAATTTTTGTTTGAAGCGCCAGATAAGTTGTATTTAGGATTAAAAGTAAAAAAATTATATTGCAAAACATGTAGTATACTCTACTAAATTATAAAAATATTTCAGATTGTTTTGTTAATTGGGGTTACCGGCGCCTGTCGATGAGACGAAATGGTAAAAATGTAGACTGTGGACATTGAGGATAAAGAAAATGTAATAATTATCAAAATTCCAGACAGTAAAACACGACAAATTAGATCTTTTACGATAATTGGTGAAAACTACATTAAACTGTATAAAAAGTATGCATAACTGCGACCTGAAAATTTCACAGAAAACCGATTTTTTATCAAGCACCAAAATGGAAAGTGTTACCGAAGCGTCATGGGAATACATTCGATCAGCGCAGTAACCCAAAAAGTAGCTAGTTATTTAAATTTAAACGATGCAAGCGCATACACGGGTCACTATTTACGACGAACTTTAGTAACACTTTTAATTGATGGAGGCGGAAATCTAGAAACGACATGGGGGCTGGAAATCAAGCACGGTTGCCGAAGGATATATAGAGGATTAAGGATGTTTAATAAATGACACCGACTCTAGTTGTAAAGATATTGAGTGTGGAGTACCGCAAGGTTCAGTATTAGGTCCCATTTTTTTTTTACTTTTCATTAATGACATCACTTACTTGAAAATTAAAGGGAAAATTTTTCTATTTGATGATGATACCAGTATTACTTGGAGCAGCTCTGATACTTCAACGCTTCATTCAATTATAACCGATGATTTACTTATAATCAAGGCTTGGTCAGACTCCAACTTACTTAGCTTTAACGTGGATAAGACTGTAGCATTATCTTATAAAGGAGTCATGCAACCCTTGCTTTTGAATGAGAGCCAAATCAATATCGTAAATTCCGTGAAATTTCTAGGTATTCTCATTGACAGTGATCTCAAATGGTCCTTGCATACTGACTTCTTAAGGAAGAAACTAGCCTCAGCTTGCTTTGCAATAAGATCTGTTTCGAAGGAACTAAATTTATCTTCTGCCAAAATGGCATATTTCTCATTGTTCGAGTCCCATCTTCGATATGGGCTTCCATTTTGGGGTTCTAGTACAGCGGCCCAATTTGATACTATTTTTAAGTTGCAAAAAAGAGCAATCCGTTATCTATTTGGTCTCAAACAAACAACTCATTGCAAGACCTACTTCAAAAATCACGGAATTTTGACGCTTCCCTCTTTATTTATTTTGGAAACGGTTTGTTTGATTCGAAAGCATCTAAACATTTTTCTCGATAGACCTGACCATGGCTACTCCATTAGAAATTCGGATTGTAACGTTTATTTGCCGATCCCGTCCACTCAGCTAGTAAAGAATTCTATTCTATATCGTGCAAAGAAACTTTATAATCACCTTCCAAGAGAAATTAAATCCGCAACATCTTTAATTAAGTTTCGTAAGGTGACAAAAATCTATCTCTCAGAAAGACCATATTATTCAGTTGACGAGTTTCTTAATGTATAACAAAGAAACAAAATTAGTATTGTTTATAATTACATTTGGGTGTCTCAAGCAGTGGCTACAATTTGTCGCATTTGTTGTTGTCCGTACAAATTATGTAGGTTATACAATAATTTTACTAATTTATAATTGTGTTATTCTGTTTTTTACTATATTGTTTTTGTTTTATACTTTTTGTATTATTTGTATTATTTGACTGATTTATTTTTTAGCTTTGTCCATAAAATTGTTCAATAATTTTCAGTGACAATAAAGCATATTTCTCTTCTCTTCTCTCTCTTCTCTCTTTAATTGTTGTTAATGACATTTGTATTGTTGCTTTGTGACATGTTTCATATTGTTGCCATGACAACATTTTTCCCTCCGCCGTAAAGTCCGGATCAAGTTAGATAAGTAATGTCATCATTATTTGACGTTTGAAGAAAAAATATTTTATTTTTACATTGTAATTATGACCTGAGTACGCTTCAGATGTTCTTTTTTCATGAATATTTTGATTCGCTATGTATGTTTATCGTTCGTAATGCGGGACTAAAAAGTTAAATTTTCCAAATTTCTGTTACATATTTTTTGCATCTCATAGAGTCTTTAAGCATATACTCGAACTACTATACTCCCTAAAAGAACACTCAGTTCTAACTGCAAGATGCAAGAGTCTCGCAGGCTTAGTTTTGTTCTTGCTCAAATCTTACACGGCCAGTCTTGCTTACATTAGGCGGTCTTGGTCTTGCTAAAATTAGGCGGTCTTGGTCTTGGTCCAAGACCGATTTTGGGCAACACTACTCCAGTGTCTCCAGAAGAGAATGTATGAAATAAAAAACTCAAAATCACATACACGAGCCACTATAGTAACTTAGCGTTTGCGACTGTGTCTGCTCTTGGTCCAGTCTAAAATCAGTTAAATCCTTCTAATACTTGGGCGTCCCAATAACATCAAAGGCAGGAAGTAACGAAGAAGTACATTCCAGCATTGGTCAAGCAAAATCGGTCACTAATCAAGGAAACAAATCAAAGATTAAAGCCATGGAAATGAATTATTAAACTAAAGATAGACGATGTCGGCTTACCAGACTTGATAGGGTGAGGAACGAAGATATTCGGGTGAAAATTGAAATTCTAGACATCTGGTGATCTATACATAAAGCTAAAAGACTGAACTGTTATGGACACATGCACAGAATGCCTGAAAATAGGTGGTCAAAAAAGATAGACTAGTTCTGGAGAGAAGATGCAATAGCCACCAGAGATTTAAAAATTGAATACTGGTTGGACCGAAAATGCTGGAAATTAAAACGCTAGAACGTTTATTTTTTTGTATATTTTTTATTTTTTTTATAAATTTCGTATTAGTTTTGTCTTAAAAATGTCAAATTATGGTTTTTACTGTTTTTTTTAATGTTAAAACATAAAAATATTCATTTGTGCTAAACAAATAAATGTTAAATTAATATTTTTATCAGTTAACTTTTTTAACGATTTATTAATTTTTAGGTATCAGATCGAGGAGAAGAAGCTATAAGTGACCAAGCGTTAGCCGATCTTGTATATTTAATAGAAAATGAGGGAAAACTAAGACTAGACAGTTTTGTACTGTGATAGACTTTTTTTCTAATCGTATCGTGTAAATTAATTTAGTTGTACAAACTAAAAACAAATATTTTATATACTTAATAAAATTATGTCTGAATGAAATTTCGAGGCACACTAAACGCAAAACAAAGCTCATTGCACGTGAGATGGTCATATAAGGAATTTTATATATAAACATCAAAGTACAATTCTCAGTTTCAGTAAAACTTATAAAAGTTAAAGTCTTACTTGACACAAAGTCATTAAAACTTCAAGTATAATTCCCACTGCAGAAATACTGCTCTAGTTTCAAGAATGTCGAAGTCATGTTGTCAATTTTGAAAGGGTATTTACACTAACTAGTACAATAAATGAAGGTAAAAATCAACTATTACCTCCGATTTCGGTGAACCTCAATCGATTTGCATGAAAATTTGGGATTGGATATATTTTACCCTCAACTTCAAAAGTGACATATGCTTAACTTGAGTTTTTTGCGTTTTAGGGGTGAAATCCACCCCTTTTGTTAAAAATGGTAAAAAATGCAGATTTAAGCATTCTGGTATAAGTAATCTCGATTATTTAAATAAAATAAATATTTTGCAGTATTTATAAACATGATTTTTATGATTTTAATTAATTTTTCAACCCTTTTAGCAACTATCCCTTAAATCGAAAATGATGAAAAAATCATTACCCAAATAGTTTCTTTAATGTTTTTGATATAATTCTTGATTGACTGTGACATTTCAACCCTCAAAAACCAACCCCATAAAGCAGAATCATTGAAAAAATTAATTTCAAGAAACTTTAATTATTTGAATAATACATTACTGAATTGAAATCTCATTTACTGTGTATTAAAGTATTTATTTATTTATTGCGTAATTTTGCACCTTTATAAACTACCCCTTGTCATAAAAATAATGAAAAATATTTTTTTATTAGCTTTAATAGCTTTAATCATTTAGAAACTTTTTTATTGGTTATGATAAACTTTATTTATATATTCCAAACTTTATTAATATTATTCTTGCCACATTTCATGAACAATTTTTTCAGTGCTTATGTGACTTATAAAATTTAATTTGTTAGTTAAGAGGAAAACGTATTAAAATAAATATTAAAATATATGAAAAGTTAATTTATTTTTTATTTAAGTAATGTTTCATAAATTAATCAAATATTAATAGTACTTTAATTGGTAATGTTACACTCTGCATCAGATCTCTCTTCACCAATTTCTCCATTTTCATTAATTGGAGGGCTATTTTGGCAATTTTCCCACTGCATGATCCGCAGACGTCAACTGGACGAATGTCTTTGTTTCGAAACCATATCTGGGTTTGTAAATAAACTCTTTGGATGTATTCACCCAATGCAGCAACCGTTAGGACCAGAGATAAAAACTTTACTGCACTATTTTTAGTGGTAGCCTTAATAAAGGGCTCGTTAGGCATGTGTTCCAGCTAAGCTGATAGGTCTTCGATGCGTTGTAGTTTACTCATATTCACATCTTTTGCACTTCCGTACAATAATATTGTGCAGTACCCCGTGACAATATTTTTTAACTGATAAATGTCTTCAAACGGGTTGTGGTTAATTAAAAATTGCTGCAAATATGTTCCGACCTGACGACCTGATTTTCGTTTTTTTTAGGATACCAATAAGTTGTTTTGCGAGAATTGTTTTGAAACTGAGTAGTAGTATAACATCATCACATTTTTTCCTATTGTCGTTTTATTCGTAAAAGCCAAAAATTGACTACTGCAACATCTATTATGTCAAAAAAATCTGGTGGTACCATTTGTTGCTTTTTACTTGAAGAGGAAGAGGTAAAGGAAGCATTATGGAAATTAAAAAACAGAAAATCATCAGGAGAGGACAGAATCAGCATGAACTCATAAAGTACGGAGGGCCAGATCTGACTAAACAACTATTAACACTAATCCAAAAAAATAATAGAACAGAAGAGAATATCACAATCAAGAATGGAGATCAAGCATCCTAATCCTCCTCAATCCTTTAGCCCTTGTGCTATGCCGTAAAGGCATAGTGACACCCTAAATATTGTTAGTCTGCTGTCTCCATTGACTGGGATCTTGTGCCATATGGACGGCTTCATGTAGGGATTTTCCCACCAAACTCTTCATTTGGTCTACCCATCGTATTGGAGATCTTCCTCTTGGTCTTCGGCCTTCTACCTTTCCTTCTACTACCAATAGTTCCATGGTGCCCGTTCTTCTAGCTATGTGGCCGAAGTAAGTTAGGTATGCTTGGTTTACTTTTTTTAGTAGCCTGTCTTTTATATAAAGCTCTTCCAGAATTGACAGGTTGGTTCTATGTTCTGTCCAGGACACGCGTAAAATTCTTCTATATACCCACATTTCGAAGGCTTCGATCTTACTCCTATCGATTTTTTTGAGAGTCCATGTTTCAGCTGCATATGTAGCAATGGGAAAAATAAGGGTATTGACCAACCTGAGCTTAGTAAGCATCCTAATACCTCTATTCAAAAAGGGAGACAAATTGGACAGGGAAAATAACAGATTAACTCATATATTAAAGACTACACTAAAATTAAGAAGCAAAGTGAGAACAAATAAACTGAATGAAATTATAACAATAGAACAATAAAGATTTAGGTCGGAAAGATCATGCACTGACGCTATATTTATAAAGAGGCAAGTGCAAGATGAATTATTAGTTAGTCACTTATTTAAGCAAGAGATAACTATTGGAATAATCAAAACAACAAAATAAAAGTAAAAGTAGAAGAACTACATGGAAAAAAATGAATCAGTTCTTGGGCTACTCCTTGATAGATCCATTGATCAAAGAAGGAAGGAAGACCCAGGCAAGGTTCATTGATAACATCGATGAAGACATTAGAAATATGGGAATACGTGCTTGGCTGAGGAAGACGATGGATAGGGACGACTAGAAAGAAATTCTTGAGGAGGCTAGTACCCACGCAGGGTTGTAAAGCCAGAATGATGATGATGATGATGATGAAGAACTAACTGACCCAATTGAAGCTAGCAATGGGATAAGACAGGGAGATTCCCTGAGTGCTCTATTGTTTAACCGGATCATAGATGAAATAATAAAAAAAAATAACAACAAAAAGGATACCAAATGGGAGAAAAGCAACTTAAAATAATCTGCTATTCAGACGACGCAATACAACCCTCTTAAAGTGGAAATGATTTAAAACGTATGCTGCATCAATTTAATGTAACCTCCAGAAAATATAATATGTTAATTTCCTCAAAAAAATGCATGGGCATAACAACCAATTTAACGCTGTAAATTGGAGCTGGAAGGTCAGATAACAGAACAAGTGGTAAAATTTAAATATCTAGGCATCACACTATCTAGCTACGAAAAGCTTGAAACAGAAGTGGAAGATCAAGTGAATAGAGCAACCGTAGGTTGTTTGTATGAAACAATATGGACAATTAAAAATATGAGGAAAGAATAAAACGCGGAATTTACACAGATTTGAACAGTCATCAGACCAATAATGACATATACGGCAGAAACACGACCTGGCACAGAGGACATAAAGAATGTTAGAAATAGCAGAGTTTGTATGTTTTTGCAAGACGCCCCTAACAATGGGGGGGGGGGGTCAATGACCTTCCTATTGGTCATTTAGGTTACGTGGTCGATAAACCTGGCCCATTAGAAAGATATATTGAAGGGACTGCTTTGCCTCAGTTTTCTCTGTAGCTCTGCGAAACATGCCTGTATTGCAACAGTTAGTCTATTTGTATTATATGTCTATGTGTACAGAATATTACAATAGGAACCTCGAAATTTATAGGAACTTTTTATTGTTGGATTCCCGTTTGGACTCATGATGCAAGAGAGGGTTAAATAGAGGTTGTGTCTTTTTTTAGGTTATTTATATGTGATTTTTCGTTTACCCAGAGAGATGTCCACTAGTACAATTTAAGGAAACACTTAACCGAAATTGATTCTTGAATTGTGTTTTTTTACTTTGACATATGTTTATTTCGCTATAAATATGTTATAATTTGAGCCATAAATTTATAATTCGCATTAGTCAATATTTGAGAAATATTTTTTTTCATTGCACACAAAATAAGTAAATTAACATATTGATTAACCAGTGACTTGAGATTTTAAGTTTTAATTTGTATGTATCTTTTATCTTTGCTAAATATGTATATTTAGTTGCCAATAATAAAAATCGTATACATTAATATTCTTTATAAATGCACGGTTGACGGAAAAATAACGGAATTTAGACAAGAATATTCTTGAATTCTTTTAAAATCATGTCCGTATTGTTTATTATTCATGATACCATTGAATCTATCGTTTGTAATGATAATTGTTTTGCCTTTATATTACTATTTGTTAATATTGTTTCCTTTGTTTTCTAAATAAAACATTTAAAACTTAATGCCTTTTATTTTGCATCAAAGTTCATCTTTAAAAACACTAAGAAATAAAATTGTTTCTAAAATAGTTTAAGATATGGCGATTCACTGACATTAAAGCAAATACAAAGAAACTAAATCTTAAGTGTACAAATAATACCAAATTACTCAAACAATGGCTTTTAGTTTGATGTTGAAATAAGAAATAAAAGTTACATTACATCCATTCTAACGATTATAAAGATTAAATAGAAAGAAATCTAGAAGGCAACAGGAATATATTTAAAAAATCGAAGGAAAATGTACAGATTCAAAAATAATATTCGCCACATCAATTAATGCTTGCTAAGATTATGGATGTACTTGTTGGGGAATAAGAGATATAAAAAATCAACTACTATTGCTACTACATCTTCAAATCTTTTTCAACATAGTAAATCCAGCAAAGACGAGATCTTTCTCGATTCTACCCCTTACATTCTTCTCCTGTTTGCTGTTCCCCTGTGTCTGAAAGCAAGTCAGATTCGTCATACATTATTTCTTATAAGCTACATTCCATGTTTATGAAAAGTTCCGTACATCTTTCTTAAAATGGTTCTTTCTCACCACGTAGCTGATCCTCACTCCTTTTTGTAAAAGTCAAAGTTTCTGTCCCATAGAGCACCATAGGTTAGGTTTATTACTTTATAAAGTTTACTGTTCTATTTAGAAACCGGTTTTTAAATACTGTATTTAACGCGAAGGAACACTTATTCTGGTTTCTTTTCCGAGCATTCACATCTAATAGACTTGGCCAGTAGTGTCTATCTTCTTCTCAGGGTGCCTGTCCTTCCGAACGTTGGCAATCATTCTGGCTATGATGAATTTGTTGGTTGCTATACTAAATAGCTGTGTTGAGGTCTTTCTATACCATGCTCTCAGGTTAGCAAGCCAGGATATTCTTGTTCGTCCTGAGGCCCCTTTTTCTTCAATTTTACCTTGTAAAATGAATTGAAGTAGCTCATATCTGCCTTGATTTCTCATTATATGGCCAAACTACTGCAGCTTACGGCCCTTCACGAT